AGACTTGGGATAACATACATGTTGTTATTCTATGGTGAATATTCATATTTAGGATAAGTTAATTATTTAATCGATGACTAGTGTTTAGGGATGGTTCCCTCCATATCAATGATGGTTTTGTTTTTCCTTTTCGATACACCATTTTTTTATGGTGTATAAGTTGCTTGTAAGCTCTCTTCGTATGCCATAAGCTTAAAAAAAAAACCTTCAAACTCTATAGAGCAATATTCTCCACCACAATCGGTGCGAAGAGTTTTAATGGGTTTTCCTCTTTCATTTTCAACATGTCTCTTGAAGCTTTTAAATGCACTAAAAGCTTCGATTTTGCCTACAAAAAATAAACCTAATTTTTTTTTTAATATAATCATCAATGAAGGTAATTGTGTATATTTTAACTTAATTAGAAGTTGGTGATATAGGTCCACAAATATCGGAGTGAATTAGTTCCAAGATATTTTTTGCTCTTCATGACTTTCCTTGAGGGAATTGTGCACAATGTTGTTTGCCATCAACACATTCTTTACAAACTTGGGAAGGAATGACAATAGGAGGAAGGCTAGTCACCATATTTTTCTATTGGAGATTTTTTAACCCACTAAAATTCAAGTGTCCATAGTGAAAATGTCAAAGCCATGAAGGGTTTGTAACTTCGCCACGAATGAAGTTTGAATACTTTCAATCTTCAATGAAAACAACTTGTTTGAACTCATTTGTAAAACAACAATAGCTCCTCTAGAAAGATCATATATTTCAAAAGTACCCTTTTTATTACTTATCACATAACCTTTTTCTTACAATTGACCAACACTTAACAAGTTATTTTTTAGGTCACGAACATAAAAAGCATTAGAAATTGTTTCTACAAAACCATTCTTGGTTCTTATATTAATATCACCCTTTCCCAATACATTAACTTTGGAAAAATCTCTAAAACTCATAGTAGAATAAAAGTCTTCATTTAAATGAGAGAAAGAAAACTTACTTCCATGTATGTGGTTACTACGACCTATATCCATATACCATACATCTAACTTATGTCCCTCATTGACTTCGACTTGTCATCAACAAAGTTTCCACTTCTTTTTTCGTTTTCTATAAAATTTGATTTCTCTCCATTTTCTTTATTGTAAGGTAGCTTAATGTAACATTCAGTTTGATAATGATTGAATTTATGACATCTAAAACATTGTACCTTGGATTTGTCAAATTATTGATCCCGTCTTATGGCTTCAAAAGGATTAGCTTTATCCTTGAAATGCCTACTGCCATTTTTATTCCCTCGGTATCTCCTTCCTCTACCTCTAACTCTTCCCTTAAAGTTTGAGGAATGAGTAAAGTTAGAAGCTTTTAAAGCTTCCTCATCTATAGTTAAATTACGAGTTCATAGTACGTTCATGTACCAATAAAGAGCTTTGTAATTCATCAAGAGAAAGTGTATCTATGTCATTGGATTTTTTTAATTGAGCATACAACATAATCAAATTTTAGTGCCAAAAACCTCAAAATCTTTTTAACAATGGCAAAATGTTCCATCTTTTCACCATGGAATCTCATTTTGTTTGCCATTGCCATTGTTCTTACAAAATAGCTAGTAAATGATTTACCATCCTTTATATGTAGAATCTCAAAATCCCTTCTCAAGGCTTGAAGTCGTGCATGTTTCATCTAAAAGAGCCTTGATATTTTTGCTTCATTGAATCCCAAATATCCTTAAAAGTTTCTTTTTTAAGAATAGTTTCCAAGATAGATTAGTCAATAGCTTGGAAAAAATAGTTTTTTGCCTTCAAATCTTTTAGCTTCGACCCTTCTAACTCTTTTTTTTTTTTTTTTTGTGCTTCTTCTATTCTAGCAATAAGTGTTATTACACCGGATTCAATGACATGCCAATATTCTTTAGAACGTAGAAATTTTTCCATCGGCATGCTCTAGTGGTCATAGTGCCCATGAAATCATGGAATGGCTGGCTACACTATCATGACCTCGAGAGTGGGCCATGATCGATGTGAGGATCGAGGGAACTATAAGGCCCATCTCGACCCAAGCAAGCCTCTAATACTAAACTAACTCTCAAATCAATGTCGGACTTATACTATAGTCCTCGGATTATTACCAACATCAAATATCATTTCCATTTCATAGTAATCTTAACTCAATAAACATTTCTTCAACATTAATACATTTCATAAATTCCATGCTATTTTCATTTCAATAACCAAGAACAATATTCTTAATTAAATTCTAATACTCTACCCACAATTATAATCGTAGATCATCTAAGATTAAAATTTAAAAGAAACATAAGTTCTAAGATATTTAAAAGAAAATAAGTTGTACGATCAAAGTGTCGACTTCATGAAAGATAACCCAAAAGAAGCAATGGTAAATCCTTCAATATCCTACAAAATTGAAATAATGAGGGGTGAGCAAACTACGGCTTAGTGAGTACATATTATAAAATATACTAAAGAAGAGAAACGGACTACGGACGATTTTTTAAAGCCATGTCAAAATGCAATGCTCATTTTTCAAACACATGCACATCGAAAACATACTTTATATTACAAATGAAATGATTCAAAATCATTTTGTATCAATTTTTGAAACACATATCATACATATATCATATTCATATGAAAACACACACACATATATAGGTTTTATACATCCGTAGGGTAATAACGCATCATTGGGTGCAAACACCCAAAGGTCACCCCTCCCCTGTGACTAGGTTTTTATATGTTGGCCTACATACGATCTAGCACTACACCTCTTCCGCTAGTTGGAGCCTCATATCATTGAGCTTAAAGGTTATACCCAGTAGCTAAGTTCCCTAGGGTCTTGAAAACATTTTTGAAAATCAAACATATTTACACATTTTCAAATCGGTAATTCAAATATCATGCATACATCCTTATAAAATACACGTATACTTAAAATAGCGAATACATCATATCCATTCAAATTCAAAATCACATATCAGTTTCAATGACACATTTGTTTAAATTGGAAAACACATATCAAGTCATTTACACATTCAAATCTCATTTAAATTCATATCAAACCGTTTTGATACGAAACATTTCAAAATCTATGGTTTCATTCCCATCTAGATTCTAATAGAATATAAATATTCATAAATAATTATGCATGAATGAACAAATTAAAAATTGAAAATATAGTGCACAATATAATATCCACTTACGAGTACAATTGAAAAATTGAATGAAATAAAGGTTGTGATGGACTCGCCTCGCTCCGAAGAATCTAGCATCACAAATGATGGGGTATCCATCAATAGCCTATCTTAAGGGATAATTCAAAATGATGAAAACAAGCATATAAGATTATCAAACAAAATGGAATTGATTGAAAATACTCGATCCGATATTCTAACTAAATCTTATAATCCTTTAATTGATTCTAATTCATAGCTTACAAAATCTCATCATCACTAATTCTTAATTTAATCATGAATTTTCAATTCAAATAATCCATTACATTCTAATTTATCAAATACTCATTCCATTAACCTTGAATTGTATGTATATAGCTTAATTCCTCACTTTCCTAAAATTCTTTCCAATTAAAACCTAAATTCAGATTTATCACTATTCATCATCATTAATCTCTCAATTTCTTAAATTCAATCAATTTTACTTTAAATTAATTCCTTAATTCATTTGCCTAAGGTATTAAACATCAATTAAGCACTTAGGATCACTAAATCAAACTTTCTCCCAAATGGGTTTCAAAACCCTAATCTTAATATAATTAATTTCTCAAGTAAATCATTGACCCAAAGGAATCTCAATTCAATGTCATCATTAAATACTTACAAACATCACAATTCAAAGATCAATGGATTAAAATTCTTACCTTTACTCTAAGCTCCTTAAATTCCTAATTTCTTCTTAGCTTTCTAAGCTCCCTAAACTCCAAGCTAGCTAAACTCCACTTGGATTCTCTAATTTATATTTTTCTAAGCTAATTTAACAATGAATTAGCTTAGGAATTGAGGTGGAAGTGGGGAGGGTTTTGGGGAGAGAAATTCGTGCAAGAGAGAGAGCGAGAAAGAAGGAAAAAAGCTAGCAATAGGAGCAATTATCGCTCCTATTTATACCATCCTTTTTAAGGTTATTACATGCACAAAGTCATTTGTTGTTGCCATTATAGTTTACTGCTTGTTGCAAAAAACAAAGAGCAAAGCTAGTGCCAAAAAACAAGAACAAAGCTATTATTGCTTGCTCTCCCTCTCTCTCTTTTTGTACTCTCTCTATAACAAAGCTAGTGTAAAAAAAGAACGAAGCTCGTTGCTCTCTCTTTTTCTCTTTCTATATTTATGTTTCACTCGCTCTCACACTCGTGAAACGAGGCTTTGATACCATTGTTAGTAGAAAAAAAAGAGAGCTAATATTTTTTGACACTATTATCATTTATAACTTTGAAGCCCTTTTTATAGGCTAATAGAAAACAGAAATGATAACAAAATAGGACTCATGTACCATTACTCTTCTCATAGTCTAGGCAACTAATCTATGTTTTATAGATTAAACAAACTCCTAAAGACTAAGATAAACATTGAATGAATAAAAAAACTCTTGTAGACTAGGACAAACGAAGAAGAAATCAAAGATACATGCAGAAACTTTATTCAACAGTTTTAGGACCATACTTCAGAATTATAGATTGAACACAAGCCTTCAGTCTACATAATAATGGATTAAGAAATATCCTTTTGCTCTTCACCACATGTCATGCCTTCTTAGACTTATTTGTCACGTGGAAAAAAACGAAAAAAAAAAAAAATTTATTTCCTCTCTCTCTCTCTCTCTCTCTCTGGCCTTGTCTTGTAGAGCATCCTTGACAGGTGGTTCAAGCATTCCATTTCCTCGAAAAAGAACTTCAGAAATAGTGAAGCCCACCCTCGTACAATTTAAACCTAACCTTAGTAGTACTCAAAATTGGAGCATTGCCCAAAATCACACATTCCCTCTCTCTCAATGGCCTTGTCTTGTAGAGCATCCTTGACAGGTGGTTCAAGCACTCCATTTCCTCGAAAACGAACTTCAGAAATAGTCAAGCCCACCCTCGCACAATTTAAACCTAACCTTAGTAGTACTCAAAATTGGAGCATTGCCCAAAATCACAGATTCCCTTCTGCTGCCTTAAAATACCCCAAAACTGTTGATATTGTAAGTGTATAGATTTTGTTTTCATGATCTGTGTTTGTCATGCACTACTACAAATATAACTTTAGACGGATTTTATAAGGATATCAAGTCATTTTTAATGAATTTTTTGTCATTACAATTGTATTTCATCAAAATATATTTATAAATATATATTGCAGGATGATTTTGATATTGAGCGTGCACAAAAGTTGAAGACATTCAAGCATATTTTGAGGAAAGAAGGAGAGGATCCATTTCAAGGTTTGGCCATGATTGATGCTATCCGGCGCCTTGGCATTGATTATCATTTCGAAGAGGAGATTGATTCAATTCCAACAAAGCACTATATGATATCCAGCACCATTCATGGGGATAATAATCTCTATGAGACTGCACTTCGCTTCCGATTGCTGAGACAACAAGGTTACCATGTATCCGCAGGTTGTTAAGTGTTTAAAATTTTTATCCCATCATCATTTTCATTTTTTCTTTGTTCTATAAATAAGGTTATATTCCTTAGAGTTGCTTATTTATCAAAAACATTTACATGTGATAGGAGTGTTTGAGAACTTCAAGAACAAGGAGGCAAGATTCAAGCAAAAATTAAGTAGTGACATCATGGGCCTAATGAGTTTATATGAAGCTTCACAGCTAAGTATAAAGGGAGAAGATGTGCTGGACGAAGCTCGAGATTATAGTTATCAGCTTCTAAGTTCAAGTATAGGAAATCTAGATTATAATCAAGCTAGATTAGTTAGGAATTCACTGGACCATCCACATCACAAAAGCCTGGCAAGTTTCATGGTCAAAAACTTCGTTAATGATTGGGATGAGAAAAATGGGTGGATTAATGTGCTACAAGAACTTGCAAAGATCGAGTTTAAGATGGTCCAATCTCAACATCAAAATGAAGTTAATGAGATTGCTAAGTAAGTGTGATAGTGACTTGAACTTATATTCATGCTATCACGGACAAAACTTTCCTCACGTAATTGTGTATTTTAATATGCATATTTAGATGGTGGAAGGACCTCGGTTTGTCTAAGGAATTGAAGTTTGCAAGAGATCAACCACTTAAATGGTATACGTGGTCAATGTCATGCTTCACAGATCCAAGACTTTCAGAGCAAAGGATTGAGCTAACTAAACCCATCTCCATGATTTACATAATAGACGATATTTTCGATGTTTGTGGCACCCTGGATGAGCTCATTTGCTTCACAGAAGTTATCAACAAGTAGAGTACTTATTTTCATCAACTATATAGAGGGTTTATTAACATGCTTGAATTTTGATAGTAGTTGATTTCTTATTCTTTTCCATCATTTTATCGTGTAGATGGGACATTGCTGCCACTGAACAATTACCAGATTACATGAACATATGTTTCAAGGCTCTTGACAATATTACTAATGCAATCAGCTACAAAATCTATAACGAACATTGGTGGAACCCAGTAGACTCTCTACGAAGAACGGTATGATATCCAACAAAAATGTTATGCAAAATTTAATTCTAGGCTATAACACTCGCACATTATATGTGATTGTTTGGATGAATTGCAGTGGGCTAGGTTGTGTAATGCGTTTCTAGTGGAAGCAAGATGGTTTGCTTCTGGGAAGTTGCCGAGTGCTGAAGAATACCTGAAGAATGGGATTGTTAGTTCTGGTGTACATGTGCTCGTTCACATCTTTTTTTTATTGGGTCAAGGTATAAGCAAGGAAAAAGTGGAACTCATTGACCATAATCCGGGCATAATATCATCCACCGCCACAATTCTGCGATTGTGGGATGACTTGGGAAGTGCCAAGGTATCATCCCAGGAACCTTAATTACCCGGCTTGTTTCGATGCATTCATATATGCCCTCATTTCTTTGGACCACCATAGAGTTGTTATTTTCATTTCTTAAAGATTTTTTGCTCATCTTTTGACCATTCTGGGGGGCCAACCTCATGTGACCAATGACTCATCATTGTGTTTTATTCCATTTTCTAGGTTAAGGTCTTTTAATGTTTTATTCCATAATTAACATAAACTTATAAACAAAATTGTAGGATGAAAATCAGGATGGAAATGATGGATCGTATGTGGAATGCTACATGAAGGAAAACAAAGGATCAACTTTCGAAGACGCACAAAATCGTGTTCTCCACATGATTTCTGAGGCATGGAAAGAACTCAATGAGGAATGCCTCTTTCCAAATTCATTTTCAGCAACTTTCTCTAAGGCTTCTCTTAATATTGCAAGAATGGTCCCTTTGATGTACAGTTATGATGACAAACATCGCCTTCCAGATCTTGAGGAGTATGTGAAATCCCTCCGTTAAGAAAATGTCTCTGTAAAATAAAATAATGGCAAAGGTTCTTCATACTAGCTGAGGGGCCATGCTCATGTGTTTTGCAACCAATGAGCTGCTTTTATTAAATATGGTACAAAAATTGGAAACAAAAAATATTACAGAAAAATTATAATGACTGTTAATAATGAATTTAATCTCCATCTCTTTTTATATTTTGTGAAGATATTTGTTTACAAGGTGTCGATGTAATTTCTTCCTCGTCTATGTTATTTGTTGAGATGTGTCTAATTCTATTGTTCTTGATCTTTAAGTTTCTTTTTATTTGGAGTTGTTATCCCCGTAAAAAGCTAATAGATCATGGCGGAGGCCGTGGCCACCTTTGGACCCATGAACCTCATGCATTATATTTTTAGCTCAAAAAGTTTTAACCACATTAAATTTACAGTGGGACTTTGACCTGGCTTAATACTTTTATATTACTAGTGGATATTTACTTTATAAAAGAGACATATACAACGAAGAAAAGAGAAAATTAAAAAAATAATTTGAGCTGCAGTAAAAATATTTTTATTTTTATTTAGTGGATTTTGATGTGATTTGTTTTGGTCTATATTTCTCTTCAAAAATAGACCTATAAAGTAGAGAGAAAAAATTTTTAAAAAATAAAAATTGGGCCGAAATGGAAATATTCATATTCTTTTTGATAAATTTGGATGTAATTCTCTCTCTCTCTCTCTCTCTCTCTCTATTATTATTATTATTATTATTATTATTATTATTGTCTATTTCTCTCTTCAAAAGTGAGCCTATGAAGTATACAATAATTATTCTTAAGTATTTTAAAATTTTGCATATTTATAGTAACTCCGAAAGTTACACTACATGAAAGAAGTCCCTTTTCTTTGAGAAGTATCATCAATAACTATTTAAGTTGTTAGATTGAATGTGATATAAAATCATTTATGCAATTTCACATAACATCTAAAATGTTGAATTGACGAGTAATATAAGACAATTTTAGAGCTTCAACTTAATTAGTTGTTAGATTGAGATTGTCTTTTGATATGCTATTAAAAATTTAAGAACCAAACAATTAAGAGTTTAAATGGCACTTTTAACATTTTCAATTGTGTTATGATGATGGGTCTTATGTGAAGGATGTGTCTAACATTGGGGAAGAAGTAGTTAGATATTTCCAATCACTTTTCACGACTAGGTCAACGAGTGTGTCATGACTCTCTTTTTGCGAGGAATAGACAAAAGCATTATCGATGATATTAATGAGAAGCTAACCGATTTACCGTTAGAGAAAGAAGTGTTTGAGGCGGTAGAGGGGTGTATTCTTTTAGTGCTCCTAGTTGGGATGGCTTCACATGTTATTTCCACAAAGCTTATTGGGATGTAATATGCCTTGAGGTTATTGCAGTCATTCAAGACTTTTTCGGAGGTGCTCACCTTCCTAAAGGTCTTCAACTATTTTAGTTTTGATCCCAAAAGTTGATAACCCTTTAGATTTAGTGATTTGCGACTTATTAGTCTCTCCACTTTTGGGTGTAAGATAATTTCAAATGTTCTAGCAACTAGGTTAAGTTTGGTGTTACCTAGTTTGATTGATCGGGAATAACTAGTTTTGTGAAAGGTCGTAGCATTACTAAAAAAGTAGTTCTAGCTCGAGAGTCGCTTACGAATTTGAGTAGGAAAGTTCATGGAGATAATGTGATTTTTAAGTTAGATATGTCTAACGCATATGACGAGGTTGAGTGATCGTTTCTTCTTAAGGTGATGAGGGAAATGGGTTTTAACAATATTTGGCGTGATTTGGTGTATAGATGCATTAGTAATATTTGGTATATCATCAACATTCGGGGTAGGAATTTTGGGTATTTTAAGTCCGGTGGAAGGATCAAACAAGGAGATTCTTTATCCCTCCTTCTTTTCATCCTAGTGTAGCGAGGTTTTTTCAATGAATTTAAGGAGACAAATAGAAGAATGTCATTTTCAGCCATATAGGGTGGGTAGGAGTTCTTTGCCTATTTCTCATCTTTTTTATACGGATGATATGTTACTGTTTACAAATAGGTCAAAATGATATGTAGTGCGGTTAAGGGGATTGATCGAAGGTATGAGGAGTATTTGAGTCGATTCTTGAATATGGCAAAGAGTTGGTTTTATATGCCAAAGCATATGTCGGTTCGAGAGAATAAGTGTTATTAAGCAATGGATAGGTTAAGGTCGTTTTTAGTTCCCCATGCAATATTTAGGGGTTCTTTTATTTGTTGGCCGAATCCAACGAATATATTTTCATCATCTAAAAATGAAGATTAATAGAAGGTTAGGAGAATGGAAGAAAAAGTTACTTTCTTTTGGGGCTCAATTGACTTTATTAAATGTAGTTATAAACAACATTTCAACACATGCGATGATAGCAATCCCTATGCCTAAGGAAACTATTCAAATCATTGAACATATGATGGCTAATTTTTGTTGTTCTTTAGTGGAAAATCAACACATTTGGTATCGCGAAATCGGATTTGTAAACATTTGAGAGAAGGTGGATTGGGGATCAAAAGTTTGGGATAGCTAATGGATGCTCTATTGGCAAAATTGGCCTAGTTTTACTTACGGGGATCAAGCCCTACAAGCAAAATATGGGAACATGAGTCGAACTAGTAATGTTTCCTCATATATTTGGAAAGCAATTGTACATCACTTACCTACCTTACACTCCCGTAATCAATGGATACTTGGTGAAGGAGCAATCCCTTTTGGAGTGCTAATTGGTGTGGTAGTTTCTTAGAGCCTCCCCTACCCCTTGATATGCATTTGACAATAAGGAAAGCTTTCCGGGAGTTGCGGGATTTTCTAGGTTTCATACCAATCCGTCATTATAATAAGATAAAGTAATTTTGTTTTGATGATAAAGTTGATGACAAAGTAGTTTGTACTTTAACTAAAATAGGTGTATTTAATACCAAAGCATATTAGAATCATTGCCAAACTCCCTCCTCTATATGGTTGTGGGTTGTAAGAATTTGGAATGCTAATATACCTCCATAGGTTAATGGTTTCATTTGGAAATGGTTTATAGGTGCTCTTCTTATGGATTGAAGAATAAAGAAGCTTCAAATTCCTTTAGCTTCAAGTTGTCAATGTTGTACTTATCATATGGAAGAGATGATGGTGCATCTATTTCTCCATTCTTAGATTGCTTTGGAGGTTTGGAAGTATTTTGGAAAAATTTTTGGCGTCCGTAATTTCCTTACTTTTTAATATTTTTGTGCTAGTTGTTGGTTTAGTTCGATGTCTACTCAATCGGTATGTGCCAAGTTGATACTTTCTCGCTTTCTCATATGAGAAATTTGAAAAAATAGATGTAAAACTAAATACGAGGACATTCCAATGAAAGTAGATGATATTATTAGATGAGTAAAGGTGGATTTTTTTTTATATGTGCATGTTGTATAAGGAAAAAAAAAAGACATTAAATACTAAAGAACGAGGAAGTTACAAGATCTTAGTATTTTTCCATTACGGTTGAATTTTTTAAAGGGGATGTGGTTAAAATGGGAACCTCAAATCATGGATGTTTTAAATTGAATGTGGATGGGTTAGCTAAAGATGGTTTTTGTTTAGGAGGAAGTTTAAATCGAGATGCTACAAGTGTCTTGATTGCAAGCTTTGCCGGATATTATTGGGAAGGCACTACTACCAATGTAGTGGCTTTTTGTACTTCGGGATGGTTTATTACTCTATAGGACTTTAGCCTTAGATTCGATTCTTATTAAATTTGATTCTCTTATGGTCACCAACACTATTCTAGGATTGAATAGGATGCCATGGTCATACACTTATGTTTTCGAGAGAATGTCTAAATTAATGTGTAAACATATTATTGCTCATGTTTGGAAAGAGCATAACATGGTGGCGAGATAGGTTGGTAAATGAGGCTTTTCAGCATAAGATTGATTATAGTTATAGTCTTTCTTCTAATTTGCCTTTAGGTGTTAAAATAGTTAATAGACAAGATAGCATGGTCTTGTTTAATTATAGGAAGTAATCCGGTTTTTCGGGAGTTAGGTTTCCTTGTTCCCTCATCATGTTAGGTAATGGATTATCCCCCCATTGTATTTTTTTCACGTTTTTACTAATAAAGTTACTAGCGTATCACCTCTATTCTTCAAAAAGAAAAAAAAAAAGAGTTTCAAGCACAAGATATCTAAGGTATTAGGTAGGAGATTGTCCTTTGACGATCAATAATGTAAAGAAAAAAAGCACTCGATTGCCTTATTCAATTTTTGAGAGAGCAACTTAATAGGTGATAGATAACTCTCCATAAATGACTATTAATCTTGATGGGAACAATTTCATGGAAAATATCTATTAGGAAATGAATTGAGCAAGAAAAATAGAGTAGAAAGACATAAACAATCACATAACATAAAAATTTACGACGTTCGATAATTGTGTCTATTCCACGACTACACTAAAAGTTCTTATTAGGATTTTCTCAAGTGATGGATATAAATACAAGAGATGTTATTATTTATAGAGTAGACAACTAGGATTATAAAAAAAAAAAAAAAAGTCTTATGGGCCTATACAACTAGTCTAAGATTCCGTAGCGAGACCATTGTGTTAGCTCTGCATAGCGTACTAATCTATGGTTCAAATTCATATTAGTCTTCATAACTTAACGATCTTCAACTTGGAGATTAGTTCCAAATAGCACTAAAACCTCTTGTAATTGTCCTTTTTCTCAACCAACTTCAAGTCCTCCTAGTGTAGTACCTTGTCACCACTACCGTGAAGGCTAACTAAGGCAATGCAAAGCCTTAACCTATCAATAGTAACTATCTTTGTTAAAATATCAACTGGATTCTCCAATCTTAATGTTGTTATTCGATATTTAGAGGACTTCTAAAAAATTTTGTCAAAAGGAAAAAAATTAAGAAAAAAAAATTATTGACCTTGGACAATAGACAAAGTTAAAAATAAACTTATAGGTAATTTCAAAAAATAGATTCTTA